CATGTTTGTTTGGATTTACTTAAAACTGAATGAAAATCGTCATCAGCAATAAACCTCTAGTCAACAGTTCAGTTGACAAAAATCTGACCGCCGGTCTTGCCCAGTTAACAAACCGCCCCTGGATCTAAGTACTTTTTAACCCTATCCGTATGCCCTGGGGTCATTTTGTACCCCCGGGGTTGTATTCTTCACAATTTAGAATACTTTTAGTGCGAAGATCTCTTTGAAACTTTCAGTATTTCTCAAAAAAATAATTTTGATAAACTGCTAAGCAAAGCGTACGGATCGGATTAAAGAGTAAATTTTTTCTTTGGAAAGTGATGGCACAGAGTTCCCCTCGTCGTATGGATACGATAGTAAAACACGACGTACGGATAGGGTTGCTCGCTCACGCGTAGCCAGACATTTCTGTGGGCAACGCTGAGTGCACAATAATGGGGTTTTGGAACAATTATATTATTTTTTAAATACTAATTTTTGTGTGTATGTGTCTGTCCAGAGTCTATTCTGTCATCCCGATAATTGTTTTGAGTCTTGTGGTCTTCGAATTGACCACTATAAAAATCGAAACCTAAAATGAATTATCTCTTGAAGTGGCAAAAAGTGTTGAATTTGTCCTTGTTCTAAATACAAAATAATCATATTTGGGGGAGGGGGGGTATTCTTAAAATCTCTCTATCTTAGAAGAAGTTTGATCGTTGTGGAAGAACTTTAACTAATAATAATATTGTTCGTCGTATTCCCCGCTCTGTAGGCCTACTTTTCGAGGGTTTAAAAAATAATTCAAATAAAACAATGAAGAATAATATGCATGCATTTCAGCTAAACTAAACAGTTGAACGCTTATTTTTCTGGGTGTGGGGACGAAGTGGCTGCAGAGCCTTTGTATTAATTCTAAATTACACAGCTAATGACTCGTGTCCGACACTTTACAATATAGATCTAATATCATTATAGTTAATTTAACTTGTTGTCAAATTCCAAGACTATTAATCCAATTGATACTTGTTTTGTTACCCTGAGAAGTGTATGTTTTCAAATAATAGCATCATTTATCTTTCATCAACGATCTTCAACTACAGAAGGCCAATAGACCCAATAACACCCCGGCGTTGTACCTTCACCACTAGACGCCATTAAAACAAGCCTGACATGTGGCAACAGAATCGTATTCTATTTTATGTTTTTCTTTAAATTATGTTCAGTTTTATGAAATTTTCATTAAGAGTGGGAGACCAAAAGCAGTACGACACCTTTTCAAATTAGTTTTTACAGTGTGTTATAAAAGCTGTCGAGGATAAGAGATGATTTTATAGATTTACCCAGATTATCATACTAGAGTCTACATCATTCTGCCGAGACACTCGTGTTTGCTTTTTGTCTTTTGCGACTGATCGAGAGTAGTAAACCAATGATAAAGTGGTTTTACATGTTCTGATGTGTAGTCTACTTGATATAGCAATGTCCATACAGCACGTAAAAAATACCTTAACACTATTAACACCATCCGGGAACACAGGGGGAAAAAACAACAACAAACCCTGTACATTGTGTGCCTACCAAGAGCGATAGCAACGGAACTTTCAAAGAGCTCTCATTTTTGTTTCTCCGTTCAACGGGCAGTCGCAGGATTGGTCACATGAAAGGTATTGAAAGATCTTTGACTTTCTTTCACTTCCTGTTTTCTTTATCCGATCCGATCGTTGAAGCCCAGCGACAGAAAGAGGCGTCCGTCAACCGAACAGGCTAACATATTACAAATTGCGGTTCTTGTATGAGTGCAGCTTCTCATTAAAGTTTCCTACCTGCTGCTACAACGCTGCCAACTAAGGTTTGATAGTCTTATGCATCATACTTTCTCTCTGATTTGCTTCCATTGTCAAAATAGAAAGCAATGTCAATGTCAGCAGGGAGAGTGAGAGGGGAAGGACTTCCGTAACGAGCGACCACCCCATCAAACACAATAAAGAAGAGGCCTAACCCTAACCCAAACCCTAATCCTACCCCTACCCCTAGCCCTCAATCCTGCTCTGTCTCATAGTGGTCGCTCGTTACGGAAGTCCTCCCCTGCGGGAGGGGGAGGGGGGGGGGGCGGGTTTATGTCGCCTGATAACTGATAAAAAAGCCTATTTCGCACCTTGCCTTCATTCCGGTCCCTTGTGAGTCCGGCCCCTGGCTCAGCGCACACGCGCCCATCATCTCTGTTCAGTTTGTTTTCAGTAAAGAGAGCACACATATATCATCATATAGGCCTATGTAGCAAGGCAGCAAGGCCACCTCTATTCTCACCCCGGGTGAGAATAGTGCAGGCAGGCGAGTCTTTTGGCTATTCTCACCCGGTGCGCGTTCACCGTTATACTCCTAGAGTAGGCCCGCATCACCGCGCTACTGTTTTAGTGCGCAACCCCCGGTCTCTTGCTTTGTTTTGGATAAGAACAGCGAAAACGAGGTCATTTTCTGTGAGCATGCGCAGAATGCAGCTTATTTCACTTTCGTTTTGGAGGTTCCTGTCAACACACGTGATTCTACGGTGTCGGAAAGTTTTGCCCCTTCATATTAATGGTTTTCGTAACCGGTATCGGTCAATTTACTAAGCGCTTGAGTAGTCGATTATTTAGCACATCTAGCTAATCTAGCTCTAATGTATCGTAGAATGTATACTAGAATCGATAAATACTATCGCAGGCTGCTTCTTAATGCCCAGGAACATGCCAGATAGGGTTGCGCACTGAAGCAGACCAAATTTGTGCAGTCCGTTTCAGTGCGCAATATCGGCTTTTTTGCTATTTGGCATTGATAGTGTGGCTTCTAGGCCCTTTGTTTGTTTTACTTATTAAGTTATTTCTTTATGACCTGCATTGTGCACTGAAACAGACTGTTTTCCTTCCATTTGGATGCATTATATTGCCATTGGAAGATGATAAGTTAATGTATTCATGTCAAAATTAATTAATATGGAAATATAATCTCCAAAATTTTCAATTTCTTCTTTTCATGTCTTTTTCTTCATCTTTTTTGCCCTTTTCCTTAAAGAATACTAGTCTAGGTATAGTCTAATTCTTGTTTTCTTCTTTCACTTCCTTGTGTCCACAGCACCTTTCTTTTTCAATTTCTTCTTTTCACGTCTTTTTCTTCTTCTTTTTTGTCCTTTTCCTTCTAAAATACTAGTCTAGGTATAGTCTTATTCTTGTTTTCTTCTTTCCCCTTCTTGTGTCCACAGCACCTTTCTTTTTATCCATTATCAAAACACATACACAAGGTGTAAGGAAATCTCCTGTCAGGGGACGCACAGCTCCCAAAAAGAACACGCCTAATTGACCTTGGCCTTCCGTTATGGTCAGTACAGGAACTTCTTGCAAGGAAAAGAAGACAAAGCAAGGATAGAGAAAGATGAAAAGTGTCAGAAAAGAGCTAGATCTAGATCTAGAGCTGTAAACATGGTACTACTGCGCACCCAACAAGACGATATGTTGCACCAAACCAGAAACCTTGCGCACCAAACCAGACACACGTTACCAGACAAACACCACCACAACATCTAAAAATTTTAAACTGCTGTTACAGTAATGCGCTGCACCGTAGAGAGGAAGTTTTTCTAACTTCTGGTGAAAAAATCATGAAGATCGACCTGTAACTTCCAGAGATATCCACAAAAGATCGCTTACTGTATATCGCACCACAGGATGTACTCTAGATCTAGGCCAACCAATTTTGCGTTCACCCTAAAACACAGAATTCTGTGCTGTGAACAAACGTTCCATTACTTCTGTTACCCTACTAAATTTACTAAAAGCGTACAATTTTGTCTGTGGGCAGTGGAGAGAAAGAGAGAGAGAGAGGAGTAGCGCGAGAACTTCCGGGCAAAACAAAATGGCGACCCGCGTAGTTCGGCTCGATTCGAAAAGTTAAATAGCCGTAGCATCTTTGTAGACGACCAAATTAATTTACTTTTGTGTTTTAACATCATTTTTTAACTTTGTTTTGGTCAATTTGATCGTCCACACCGATAGACAGTATTCAGAAAGAGATAGAGAGAGAGAAGAGGGGAGGAGTAGATCTTGCGAGAACTTCCGGGCAAAACAAAAGGGCGACCCCCGTAGTTCGGCTCGATTCGAAAAGTGAAATAGCCATAGCATCTTTGTAGTCGATAAAATTAGCTTACTTTTGTGCTATAACGTAATCTTTTCTTCTTTGCCTTTATCTAGCAATGCCAATCGCCCGCTGCGCCTTCGGCCAGAAATCGGCCTCCGCGTGAGGGGTATTTTTTGGGCCGCTCGGAATCAGAAGTGACTCTCTTCTAAGTTTAGTTACGGGAAAACTCCTGGACGAAAATAAATGAAACTCGGCAACCAACCAGAGGAAAGGTTAAACTAACGACATGCCAGCGTACAATCCCGAACGATTACTAGAACCGGAGATATTGCCGTGTTTGTGCGAATTTCCTCTGCGGTTCGAAAACTAAGCGGAGTTGCGGGTTGATCGCCGACCACACAAGCGCCCCACATGTCTTCTTTATTTCTGTAAAATTTCAGATCTCTGCCTTTAGTAGATTTTCCGTACCAACTTAAAATTACCACCCATCCATTGATAAAACCCTAGATCTAGAAACTTGATCGCGCATTCCAAACGCGACGTGCCGGCACGCAAGAGGCGCGTGATCGCTAGGCGGCATGTGATTGGCTGCCTATAACCAAATGGGTCACCGATGACTACATCGCGGGTTATCCCGATAGCGCTTTACTGAGTTTTAGAAGGGGTGATCGCGTCGCGGTAAAAACGATGTCACGCAATTCAACAAATTTCATGCAAATATCAGTCTTTCAGATCCAAAGTAATAAAGACATCGAAAAAGTGATAGCAGAACTAGATTCGGCACTAAAAATCACATGGGGATGCCAAGTTTCATTAATATGCTCCAATTCATTACTGACTTATGAACAGTTTTTCCTCAAAATACATCAAAACATGTCCCACATTTTGGCGATTTTTTCCTATATGAAGGTCCTCCAACATTTTGCAAACAAAAATCCCAATAACTTTTATTTATCAATGGATTTTTAAAATTGAAGAACCATAGTTCTTAGAATTTACTCTATTTTCATTTAAGTCCATTTTAAAGCAATTTGGATGAAAATTTAATTTTTCATTGTCATTGCTACTTTATCCATTTGATCATCCACATCGATAGAAAGTATTCCGAAATTAGGAAAAACAGGTCTTGTTTAACACCGGGTGAGAATAGCCTACGGTGGCAAGTCTCACCCGGGGTGAGAGGTCGATCGTATTTCTATTCTCACCTCGGGTGAGAATAGCCACTTCCATCATGTAGCAATGCCAATCGCCCGCTGCACCTTGGGCCGGAAATCGGCCTCCGCGCGAGGAGTAATTTTTGAGCCACTCAGAATCAGAAGTGACTCTCTTCTAAGTATAGTTACAGGAAAACTCCTGGACGAAAATAAATGAAACTCGGCAACCAACCAGAGGACATGCCAGCGTACAATCCCGTACGATTACCCAAACGTCATCACTAAGCACAAAAGCAAAATCTCTATAACCTCAGAAATGACCCATCTTTCGAAGTTTGTTCACACATCACACTGTTGTTCCAGGAATCCTATGTAAACACCGCAATTTCACTAAAATATTCAATAGGGTAGCCTGAAAACACGCAAAACAGCCATGTACATCACATTCAAAGCCTGATTCTTGTGCGTCACCGGACGCTGACAGCAATGACTACTTTCGTTTTTCTCTTTCCGCTGTTGCTTCCGCTGTTTTCTGGGGAAGCGGGTATGGGGAAGTCACTCGAGAAAACAATTATATCTGGGCACTGTTGATGATCAGTTCAAAACAAAAGTGGGCTAAAATTCGACTTCCGGTACGTCGCAAAGTGACGACGATCGCGGCGAATGTTAAACAGCCGACCGAAATCGTAGATCTAGGAACCCGATGTTCCTTTCGCACTTCACAGCTTTTGAAGTATTGAATAAACAAGGAAAAGCAAAAAGATTTAACCAGCTGTGGTTACTCTACTGAATGAATAATAACGGTGTTTTCTGAAACACCTAGTCCATGACGACACGACGGACGCATAAGTGATCCAAATTATTTGTTTATTTGCAGACAAGAAATAAACCGATTTCTTGAGCAAGTGAACCTTTTTGGATGACAAATAGCATAGGATCAAAGCACAGGTTTTTTAAAAAACATCAAAATATGCTAATACTAAATTTTGGACATTCATGGAGGTTTGCATTGGTGTGCGCAAAATGACAGTCCAGGAATCACTAAAAAACTAACATTTTTGGCACAAAATTTACAAACTCAAGATTGTAAAGCTGACACGAGGTCTGAAGCTGCTAATGCAGGTTCTAATCATATTTGACATGTGTATAAGTTTTGGTGGAATAAATACTAATGCATCACATTTTATGCACACTAATGTGAGATGTACGTGTTTTTCCCCACGTTTTGGCAATGGCTCTATTATATATTTTTAAAATTGAAAACTTCCATCTTGCTTGTCATTTTTTAAATCATCCCTTTGAAGCAGAGGAATTTCTAAAGAAAAATTACTGTAAATTTTTACTTTCACTCCCACACACATATCAAATTATGGGTTAAAACAGGGGAACATGCCCCCCTGTAACCCCCAGATTTTATTTTTTTTTAGCCCAGGAGGGCAGGCCCCCCTGAAACCCCCCGTTGTAGATCTTGTGTAATATAGCTCGATTAACAAAAATCAAATATTTTGAAAATTATTAATTTGTGAGGGAAATGAAGTTGATGTTATAGTGTTCAGCGCCTCAATATTTAGTTCAAAATGGACAT